TATGAGGGACACCAACAGACTAAAGCGGCGCCAGAAAACCACCCTGACAAGACCCCCAAGCGCTAATCTTTAGTCTTCCCCCCCCGGTAGAGCAGGGGATACCTACACGGCAGATGGGGACACCATTTGCCTCAACTTAAGTTGTCCAAAGAAGCCAGACCAGAGACCCCGCGGCGCAAAGTGGGAGGGTGTCCCAGCTGCAGCCATTGGGAGCCTGAAGACGAAGACGACGAGGGCGAAGAGCTACAGCGGCGCGAAAGCTACTACAACTACTGGGGCTACTGCGGGGGGATAACTACTAAGGGAGGGAGGCTGTTTCACGGAGCACCGCCAACGGCTCCAACCTTCAATCGCCCAGGGGGTAGTCTGTGGCGACCCCACACCTCAACGCAGCTCAATAAGAGGAGCGCGAAAAGGGCGGGCTTCTGGGGGTACCGGAAGAGAAGCTTGGCGAAGGGAATCAGCGGCACGCCGCACAGCTGCAGAAGGGGGCCCGCACTGGCAACGCGACGGGAATGGGAGCAGGGAAAAACCGCCGTGAAGGCGGGCGAATTCCTCACCCGCATGGGATGGGAACAGCCCAGCAAAATGCGGGACGAGTACACAGCTGACCACAAAGCGTGGGAGGCGTCGGAATTCATCCCGCTGCACGGGTTGCGCAGGCGGTGGCCCTCGGGGGGGGACCGCCCCCGCGCGATTTCGTGCAGCCCAAGGCGCTCCAAGAGGACACCTTGGTCAGACGGGCGACCAAGATCACCCCCAGGCAGAAGCTACAGAAAAAGGGACGGATGCAGCCGAATACCGTTACCAAAAAGGTAACAGTCAGCCCTAGCGCCAAAGAGCGCCAGTAGCAGCGGCTAAGGGGCACCCAAAGCAGTGCCAGGCACAAAAAACGCACGCACCTGGCGGCTCTGAGCCTCCAGTCGTCGGGAAAAGAATGGAAGGCGCACCGCGGAGGCGTCGGGAAAGGATGGCCCAAAGGGCTGGAGGTTCAAGGCGACCTTGTCCCCCAGCGCGGGGACGGCGCCTGCTACTGCCGAGGGATTAGCCGCGCACCCGGGCCAAAGCGCCCCGGGCCAAAGTGTCCGACGCGAAGAGCGAGCACCACGAAACTTCGCGGGCGTCGGTTGATCGACTCGTAGGGGCTACGGTGCACGAACACCGGCCAAGCCGCGAGAGGGGCTACGGCACGCGGACGCTGGTGCGCAACTCTCTCTGGGGAGGTAAAGGTCTCCCGCCACGCTCTGTGGCAAACTTATGGGCCGTAGGTGCAACGACCGGCGCCGGCAAAGACCTGGGTCTGCCGAGCCAGCTTACTGCGCTGCCGCAGCATAAAAGAGTATAGCTCGCCAGTAGCTTTAGGGCCCCCGGGGGTTAAGTCTCCAGTTTGTATATGCACTGGAGGAGCTTGTGGGGGAGTGAATACACTAGCTGGCGAGTTAACTTAGGCGAGAAAAAGGGCACGCCCTCTGGAGGGTTCTTGGCTGGACGACAGTCGACCAAAAATCCTCCCAGGGGCCGACCAGGCCTAAACTCAAAAGATGACGACTGCCACGCCATTGGACGTTAGCAAGACAGAGACGGAGCACGGCAAGGACCGCCGCGAGCTCCACGACGCGGTCGGCAACTTCGTCAACCGTGTACGAGCACAGCCACGCGCCGAGTCCTCCGCACGGTCAGAAGTTGCCGCTCGAGTGGGGGCAACTGATGGCAACTGAGAAGCTACACACAGCTGACAGCGGTGGCTAGGCGACGAAAGCACGCCGCCGCTTTGTTCAGGCGCTTGAAAGCGCAGACCGAGCAAGCAAGCGCGGAGCTAATAATCGCCACTGCACCAGAGCACCTAAAGCGGGCGCTGCAGACAGCCAAGACAAGAAACGTCATCGCAGTGGGAAAGCTCACTGCACTAACGGGCCACCCGGGCACGTCGCTACCAGACGACATCCTCCACGGGTTCCAAACAGTAGGCGAGTACAAGAGTGCCGGCCTCTGGAAAGCAGGCGTAAACGCCGCGGGAGCAAAGGATCTCGAAGAACTCTACAGCACCGCGGCAAAAATCCGCGATGCGCCCCGAAAGGGTTCCCGGAGGAAGCGCTCCGGCAAGTCCTCAAAAACATCGCGGCAGGCGTCCAGCTGGGAAGGTGCAAAGAAATAGATCCAGCGGGCCTCAAGGCCATGCCGGCGCACGCCTTCCCAAAGGTGGAACCGGAAAAGGTCCGGGCGATAATCGACGAGAGGTGGGGAGGCGACTTCTCGAAGATGACAGAGAGAGCAGGGCTTCACGGCACGCGAGCGTTCTCGTCTTGGAAATCGTCAAAAGCTACATGGCACCCACGGGCGCCGAGACCCTCGCCTTACGCGCACCGGTGACCCAGTTCACCACGGACATCTTCGGGCAGGTGGCCAAAGGGGTAGCAGACTTCCGCGCAAGGGCGAACGCTGGCGAAGCCACCAGCGAGGGCCGCCAACTTGGCGAACAGGTGAGGCGCCTCAACGAGGAGAGAACGAAAGCCCGGCTGGCTGGTAGAAAGCCGCGCATCGCACTCCGAGACTGGGGCAAGGCATCCTACCAGTTAGGGGCACAACACCCAGAAGAAAACCCGGTAGGAGTCTGGGACGGCACCCAGGGGCGCTGCCGCGTGTGATGCTCCTCGCAGCGATACTGAACATGGGAAACAAATCTAGCGTCAGCAGTTGGCGTAGAGTCGCGGAGCTGGTCATGAAAATAATGGCCACGCTCGGGCACACAGTAGCGCCGATCTACATCGGCGGCGCCATCATCCTAAGCCTCGAAGAAGGGGCGGGTGAGGCGATAGAGGCACGCGAGGCCCTCCGTGACTGCCTGGGGCTGGAGCTAGCGACAAAAGCTGCGGCACAACAGGACCCCAGAAGCGACCCCGTTGCGCGAATTTTGGGCCTCCACTATGACACAAGCCCAAGTGCGGGAATTGGTGCCGTGGTGCCGGGCAAAATGCTCCAGCAGGTAGCGGAGGCCGCAAACGAGCCCCGGCAGAAGGTTAACGCGGGACAGCTGGGCAAAAAAGTAGTCCGGCGACTGCTAGGTCTTGCAAACTTCATTACAGCTTCTGCAGCAAACAGAGCGGGAAGCGAAATAATGGGGCCCGCCCCTCTACGCGTGGACGGAGGGCGCCACCTTCGACAAAATGGCGAAGCAGAGGCGGCAGCGAGGGGCGCTTCTCCGCTCCACGGCGGCCATCGAGAAGATGGCCCACAAGGTGAACAGACTCAGACCTAGGCTAGAGCAAATAGTGAAGCCCCTGCGCTTCCGTTCTTGCTCGCCGACGCGTCAACAGATGGCGGCCCGAACGGCGAGCCGGCGCTCGGATACGTCATGACTCACCACAGTCAGCGGCAGAACCCTCACCCAGATGCAGCCTCTGAACGACGGCCGACGGGGAAGCGCCAGACTCGAGGCACTGGGGGCGGCCGCTGTAGGCCTCGCCGCAAAACAGCTCCAAAACTGGGCCAGCAGCTCTGCCGTCGTAGTGCTGATTGACAGCACGCCAGTGCTCTACAGCTTCACGAAATGCAGCGGCAGATCCGCAGTGGTAGCAAGCACCGCGGTAGACGTAGCGAACCACTGACATGACAACAACGACAAGCCGTTGCGCGTCTACGTAAAGTAAGTCCGAAGGGAACCGGGCGGACTACATGACCAGACACGGCAGGTGCAACCTGTTCACTGACGCCATCCCACCCCTGCAGACGGTTCAGCAGTCCACTGGCGCCCGGCTATGGCTGACTGAACTACGTGAACGCCTGCCGGCCCCTGTCGTCGCTGCTGCTCGGGGGGTTCGTCCCTCCCACTGCAGTGACAAGCGCGGCGGAGGTCGGCAGCCGCCCCGGCACACCACTGACGCGGGTGCTGGCCGGCGGGGGGTCTTGGCGCAAACTTGTGCAAAGGCCGGCGCGCGTCCTCGTGGCCTCCTCTCGGCGGATGCGAGTCCCAGACCGCCGGCTCAAATCTGCACCAGGAAGCCGGAGCTTGGTCGGGGTCTCCGGAGGAAGATGCCGGTGAGGAAAGGATAAGGGCTCAGAGCGGTCCACTCACCACTGGCACGAGTCAAACCGAGACCAGAGGTTGAAAGGGAACGAACTCAAGCCCCAGTAGTGGGCCGACGGCGCGGGCTCCTGGAGGTTCAGGGCGACCTTGTCCCCCAGCGCGAGGGCAACGCCTGCTACTGCCGAGGGATTAGCCGCGCACCCGGGCCAAAGCGCTCCGGGCCAAAGTGTCTGACGCGAAGAGCGAGCACCACGGAACTTCGCGGGTGCCGGTTGATCGACTCGTAGGGGCTGCGGTGCACGATCACCGGCCAAGCCGCGAGAGGGGTCACGGCACGCGGACGCTGGTGCGCAACTCTCTCGGGGGAGGTAAAGGCCTCCCGCCACGCTCCGTGGCAAACTTATGGGCCGTAGGTGCAACGCCAACGACTGGCGCCGGCAAAGACCTGGGTCTGCCGAGCCAGCCCACTGCGCTGCCACAGCATAAAAAGGCATAGCTCGCCAGTAGCTTTAGGGTCCCCGGGGGTTAAGTCTCCAGTTTGTATATTATACGTATCGACTTCGCAAAGTCACACATGATCGCGCACGCATGATAGTGCGTCTTTGATCTTCGTCACGAGTAGACTCGGTAAAAGACTTCTGGTCAGCAGTGCTATCAAGTAATTCGTTTTCTCCACATACCATCAGACTCAGAGAGCTGGCTCGATGCTGCATATGCGACCAGCACGCACCCGTGTATGCTACAGCTTCTGGATGGATCTGAGTCCGAGAAGTGGGGCCTTCATTGGGTGCAGTTGAGGCTGTGGAACCTGCTCCACCTGTTCCGTGAAATCGTGGCTGCCAGCGGTATGCTTTTAGTTCTAAGGAAGGTCCTAACTCAAAAAATTATCCGACATTATGCATATTACAATGATGCTTTTTTTACGTGGTATCTTTTCCAATCTTATTCTTACTGGAGACAAAACCTCCAATAAACAGATCAGCCGGGCCGGTTGCTGAAATTTATTGTTGACCGCGCATCGGTATACTTCATGATCCAGCTCCGGGCTAGTCGCCCACACGAATTGGCCGTGTATGTTCTTGGGCGAAAAAGCGCGGAAGAATTTGCGGCAGCGGCTCCGCGTTTCTGCCAGTAAGAAAACGCCAGCTCCCGTAGGCCCTTATAATTGCACCGAAACCACAGGGACGCCGCAAGCGGCTTCGCCGGTCTTCCGCGTTGTTATCACGGAAGGCGAGTGCCCATGCGTGTTCTTTGGCCCTTCGTTATCTTGATCCAGCTCTCCTGCTAAGTCCTCAACCCCATGTCGCGGTGGACATGGTTGCAAAGTTCGTGAATAATTCACAGGGCCTACCTATGGTCTTGCGGGGTCGTGTAGGGCCCCGGGGCACCTCCTTGCAGCCTTAAACCCTTTTCAGGGGCGGTAAGCTCTCTTGGCTTCCCCTCTCTGAGCAAGGTCCAGCGCTGGGGCGAAGGGTTCGGGATATACAGCGCTGGGGCATCGCGCCGGCCCAGCGGGCTGTCCGAAGTGTGTGGGGTGTTGGTTCTGGGGCCCACCTCGTTGGGCTTTTTTTTGCCGCGTTGTGCTCGGTTCAACAAGTTCCAGGGGCTGGCGAAGTATTCCTCTAAGAAGTGAAGGATGACCAGACCGAAGGCCCCGAAGATATCGGAGCAGACGTCTATTCGGCAATGTGCGGGACGAGTGGCTGCCTGAAAACGAGTGTGTGGCTCATGTTTCGCGTAGGCGGCGATTGCGCGCTCGTCGTTCTTATTGATACGGCGACGACACCGGCCAAGCTGGTGAAGTGGGGGCCCGCCGAGAAGTTCCTAGCTAGGGTAGTTGAGGGTTGAGATAAGCACAAAGAGTTACAGCCAGCCCACTTACCTCGCTTGTAACCCCACCGACCCTTACCTTATTCTCACCTGAAAAAGCCACCCAATCAAAAAACCACAGGTAGGTACTAGATAACCGCTGAAATTAATTCTAAAAATAATGCTCATGCTTTGAGTAAGTAGCTCCACCATTGCCAGGATGTTCTATGCGTTCGGGCCCCGCAGATTTTGTGTCCATCTGTTGCGCCCGTCTGTTATCTCAGTGCGTGGCCCTTTTCTGTGTAGATTGGAAGCTGCGAAACGATAAGAAACTTAATACCAAAATCTAAAGACAAACAGAAAAAGCCTGGGTCGTCTGCTGCTAGTTTTGTGTGTTTTTTGTCGTGGTCCATTCACTTTTCTGATATCCATCTGCTGTAGTAGAGAAGGTTGTAGAAGAACAGTATATCGTTCTGATGTTTCTGTCAACATCCCGTGAAAGCCTTATCGGTGCACTGCAAGCGAGAACGTGAGTCACCCGAAAAGACCCCACTTTTAAAATTTCTAAACAAGTCATCTAGTTGCGTTTGCGTATCCCATGATGCCACAGATATTGCGTGCGCAAGTATGTACAGGTAGTATGGTTTGTTCGTGAGCGCTAGGACTGTATATTTTCACCCTTGTGGTGATGCGTTTTTTTATATAATTCCCGGCCTGTTTCATTGGTGCAAATCGTGAAGGTTTTGCATGATTCTCATGCGGTTGCAAAGTTGTCAAATGTGTGGCCCTTCTTGTTCATAAGTAACACGATACGGATCCACATCATTGGCATAGTGTTCCAGTGCTGTGATCTTTGTCGCCATAGGATTGCAATGATTTCCATCACGTTCATGCCCTTGATGATCTTCATACTCATGACAGTACTGGGATCATCGTCCTCGTCTTCTTATTCTTATCATTTGCAGAACAGGGGAACTGGATCATGGTTCACTCAAGCAGAGCGATTGATTGAAAGCTCCGCTTTTGTCTTGTGTCTAAAACTTTTTGTTGATTATGATTGATCGTTGTGCAGGAGCAGAATGAAGTCTATGTCTGGCGCAACATTATTTAGAAAGAATCACAATCACGTTCTCCCCTAGCATGAAGTTCATCCATGAAGTTCGTCGTTGTCGTTCTAACTCCAAGTGCAGGCCAGAAGATGGCACATGGGCGCTCGACGCATCGTACAGCTCTGGAGGTTTTGCTTTGGCGCTAAGGCGAGATCCGGTTGTTTGTTATCGTCAGTCGCAGGTTGATACAGCCCGCATGTATCTGCGTACGATGCAACCGCGTCGGGTCGCAAGGTAGGCATACCTCTGCTTCGGCGGTGGAGGACTGGCGGGAAGCCGCCTCAATAGTGCAAAATGTCACGCAGACCTGTTAATGCGCGTTGTTGATTGGCGAGCCCCTGTTCGGTGGTATGCCTGCGTCTGGCATGAAGAGAACTTTTTCCACACGATGATCCGTGAAGCAAACGCCTCGTCTTGAGCTGGTTCATTTTCTCAGAGAGGTGCTGAAGATAGTGCCCTTTGAGCAGCCTCGGAAGTCGGAATATCAGGTGGCCCCCATCTTTCAAAGTAGTTGCATCTACGAGCTGCTGGACGAGGAGGCGAAAGCGCAACACTTCTTTTCACTCTATACTAACTACAACTTGCTGGACTGCAAAATAAGGAAATACATACAACAAAGTCACAAGTTCATAGTACAACAGACCTAAAAGTTTCGACAAGGAATCGAGAAGACGGAAGACCCAAAAAGGCAAATCTGTTCCGCTATGGTTATTTTTGGTCGAACGGATGTTACTCACGCGCTGGTGTGGATGTTCCCGTGCCTGTTTTGATTCGGCGATCTTTTATTGGAGAAAGCAGTTTGAGAAAAAGTGTTGTGCAGCGGTCGATCGGTGAGTGTCTAATTGTGATTCTTCTCTACTTCATGAACAAGGAAGCAGTATTTCATATTGATGGTGCCCTCTGATGTGGATTCATCTCAGTATGCGATCTTCTCAGAGTGCGAAGTCCATATTTCCATATGCAGCGGCTATGAAGTGGGTCCATCAGAAACGAGAGATGATAAACAAGAGACGAAGAACAGAAGACGGAACTTGGGTTCTGTTTTGCTGCAATTCAGCTTCGGCCATTCCTCCGTCATCCATTTCCAAAGACATTAGCAGTTCAACTACGACTATCGCATATCCGAATACGAATTATAGTAAGTAAGTATTTGTATCTATTTTTAGCATTTATTGTTCCCAACCTCAGTATCAGTTGCTTCAGAGAAAAGTACTAGAAGTCTCGCAGCTGCGTATTTCGACTATGACGGATGTGCTTCGGCGTCAACACGTAATCTTAATCTATTAATGATCTAGATGTACTAAGTCTAAGATTACAAAGATGCCACGCAAAGACGCGGCTCGTTGGCGCAAAAAAACGTCTGAAAGCGATCCTGCGCAAGCTGACCCAAATTTCGCGAGTGCATCTCTAGAAGGTGTTGTGAGACCTCGTCTTGTTGAACATTCGAGAACGATTAACGAAGCTAGCACGAACCATAATGATCGCAGCACCAAATATCATGATGGGCGCCAGTCGCACCAGTCGTTCTGGAGCATTTCCGATCATAAGCAGGTGGGGTCAGATTATCCAGCCAGCAGCGCGACATCTTCCACTTGCCGACCCTCGTCACCTAGACAGGCTTCCTTTTCACCTGCAGCGTCAAGACAGAATGATCGGAAGACGACTTCGGGACACGCTTGCTCCTTTACACCTGCTGCGTCAAGACAGAACAAGCAAAACCGGCAGATGACTGCTTCAAAGCGGTCGTGTGCGGTAGTGTGGCACAAGTGGACCGACTTACGTCTCGACGACCATGAGCCTGCAGTGCATGCCCATCGCAACTTTGCGGAAATGCTGCATGTTCACTTGATCCCCTTAAGATTCAAGAGTAGGCTGTCACGTCATCATAACATGTCAGGACGTCTCAAATTCTTGGTCTCTATACCATCGGGGTGGGCTTGTTGATTATTGATCAATATATACTAGGTGGTTTGTTCATTCCTGAAAGTAAATATGCATTTGGTCTTGTTGATTCTTAAAATACAAGGTAGCAGGCAAAATATGTCAATATCACCTGGTAGACGACCACGATGAACGGGTCTCGTTCATACCAATGAGAAAGCAAGAACTTGCCTCAATCTCCAATCCCTCCTCAAGATCATCTTGATTTTCATCCTTCTTGTGTGAACAATCCGTATTCATCTAAGAAAACGCAGTTTATTGCACTACGAAAGTCGAAGCCGCGAGGCCAAGTTGCCGCGTTGTTCGCCGTTACGCGCCAAGTTTTGGATGGAAAGTATACTGGATTTGGATGCCCGCTTGCGAGCGGCGAGTTCGGGAAAGCAGTATTTACATGTGGAAATGATTGACGATATTGGAAAGGTCATGAAAGGCGCGTCGTCCACGACCACATCCACGAGCACAACAAAAGACATGAAGTCCGATAAAGAGCTCCTGAATCGCGACAATCATGGAAAAGGCGTACGGTCAACGTGGAACATCAAGACGAGTGGCTTTGCAGATTTTTTCTTAGAAAAGCTTCGACTTGATCAACAAGGACAACATGAACAACATCGAAGGTCAGATTCAGAACTAGAAGCGATAAAACCTGCTACAGCTTACCATATCGTAACCCATTCTGAGTTCTGCAAGGAAGAGCTTGAGATAGAAGCTGAATTGCGACAACGGTTGTTGTTACAGCTAGAGCCGAACCTGGAGTCAAGTTGGGTGGAGTCTAGCCAGGTGACTAACATTAAGGCTCAATGCAATTCCTTTCCAGCAGTCATTTCTCACCTGTAGTTCCTTTCGGGGATGGGTTGGGTTTTTTGGCGTTTCTGTTAGCGTTTTCTTTTGACTCTTCTCATGGGGAAGTAGACCATAACAAACGGGGAACAGAAACACCAAGGCTCTACTTCTAATAGCATAACCTTCCAGACTTTCTGGGGTGGGCAGACGTTGACTCATATCGACGATCTAGGCCTTAGAGATGACCCTCTGAATATGCCAGAGTTTAAAGGCGAGTTCAACAAGCTTGCGAAAAGCTGTCGACTACGTCAGAGCTGTGGATTTCCGATCGGTCGATTCTCTCTCGAAGACGTTTACGTTGAAAAGCAGAAGATGGTGGCGACCGATGTGGATCTTGATGAGAGGCCGTATAACAGGAAGACACCACTGAGCACGCGACAGGAGGGAACGCAGATGACGCCCAACGCCAAAAAGTCATGTCTGAAGCCACCGCCACAGGAGTTTGGCTTCCTGTCACGTGCAGACTTTGAGAAACAGATCTTTGATCTGTTCGACGAAGCGATCCTTGGGAAAGACGCTAGACGCAACTATGCTGAAAAGTTGCTGGGTTTGGACAACACCTTGTTGGCGGTACTCGATGAAGAGGAAAATTTGCTGGGTTTGGACAAAGAAGAGGTAGAGGATAGAGAAGATTATAGAGAGCAGCTACTTCAAGAGGTGCTTGGCGAGAGCGCCTGGAAGATCATGGGGACTGATCACAAGACCAATCCATACGAGCATTCATCGACTGGCTTCGAGCATCGTTGGTTGGGTGGCGAGACTGCTGCTCGCACTTACCTTACTGACTTTTTTTCGGGGCCTGAGAAATTGTGGGCGTATCGTGGAGCAACCGAGTCGTTCGCGCATGGGGAGGAACATAATTTAAGGCGAACGGGAAATGCTCTTCAAGAAAATGATTGAGTGACTTTGTTTCTCAAGCTACATCGTTACCCAGTTATCATTAACCTCGGTCGGCCCTCTAAGTAGTCCGATATTCAGCGGTACGCGGCTCTCTCCGTGGCTGGCATTTGGAAACGTCTCTGCGAGACAGGTTCTTAAACAAGCGCGCGAGTGCGAACGACGTTTCGGGAAGAAAGGGAGTATGGCTGAAAGCTACTACTTAATACATAGTTGTATGAAAGAAAAGATGAAGAGCCTGAACTGAGACGGAGGCTGTAAGACCTCATGATCGTGGGCTTCTATGTACAATACCCTAGACATTTCTATTTCTTGAAGATTTGTACTTAGTCCTTCCTTGTCGAAACTAGATTCTCGCGAATTCATTAAGAGTAGGTTAAAGGTGCTTTTCTTACCGCTTTTTATGCCTCTCCTAAGGGAGAAAGGCATAACAAGCGGGGCAAGCGAGCACCAAAAGCCTACCTCTAGACTCACGATCGTATCTTCAGCAACTTTATGCGCCATTCATGATCCGCAGTAAAGGAGGCAAGAACGTCATCTTCACAAATTAGCTGCAACAAGCAAAGTGTGTGGCTGAGACCTGTCCATGCACTTTCGACCTGCTTTTTTCTCGTAGAAGTCGAGCTTCGTTTTTCCCAGACAGTGCACTGAGAAGCACTTCTTTGCTGCGTCTATTTGTGAGAGGCGAGAATGTTGAATTCTGCAGTGATGCTGGAAATCAAACGGAAGCAGACATGTCCAGCGGAAAGATAATTCAGATTCGTTCGAACAATACTCGTTTTAATCGGAACAATAATCGGAAGAAGAACGTTACTCACAAATCAGCTATCTTCTCTAGACTGGCGCGATTTTCCGGACACTGCCATGTTGAGGGGAATTGCCGAGCTCAAGAGCAAGGTTTTTCAGGGTTTGGCCATCGCGTCAGGGGTGTCATTTTCCGACTGATGCCGCTCACAAACGTGCTCAAACAACCATGTATTTTGAATACGTCACAGTGTAATAAACGCTCACAGCACGACCTTTTTTTGATGAGAAGAGAAGCGCCTCTTTGAGAATGTCATATGCGCAAGACTTGCTCTTGGTATGTACGCCAGGGTTGTTGCCAAGCTTGTGTATCATAGCACATCGCTGGAGATGACGCAGATGCGCGTCCTTTGTTTGATGTGTTCGTACAAGAAGAAGGAAAACGAAAAGTTTAGCATGAAAATAGAAGACATCATGAGGAGCTTAGTCATGGAATGCGGAGAATGACAAAATGGAAAAACGGAGTAGATCTTGTAGTGGAGGACGAGAGAAAAACTATTTTGAAAATCTGGACAGGACGCTGCTATGTAGTGCACTACAACCATTATAACTACAACTACGAGAGAGAGAGATAGAGAGAGTGACACTCTTTGGCTGTGAGGCACATTTGCTTTCAAAAGATGAAGGAAGTCCAGCGCTTATACCAGAAAGCGACTTTCATAAACTACAATGAATGACGATGAGCAGGGCACCACAGCAAGTTTGATCTTGATGGTACTGCAGGCAGAGTGCACAGACACGAGAAAATGATGAGATGCGCCATTCTTTTAGGGACGAGAGGCAGTAGGCGGTATTATCTCTATTCCGTCACATGCATTCAATTCGTAAATCCGCATTGACATGATGATTATGCTAGAAAAAAAGATGCGCTCTTTGCTTATTGCCTCGTTTATTTCGGCGTGTGCGTTCGCTGAGCTCGCGGACAGCAACAGCCGATACGCACAAGAAGTGGACGCGTATGGTGAGACAAAAGATGCGAGCGATGACACCCTTATGAAAGGAACAAATGATCCAACATTTACCAATATACTTTCTTCCACATCAACGCTCTCAAACCACCACAAAGCTATTTAGTTACTCAGAGTTGATTACGCATGGCTATACTCTCAATTTCATTTGGCACTTACGTCATACCCCACGAGTTTCTATTTTCTCGTTCGAACCTTATCTCATCCCATCCCTCTCATTATTGGGGATTCAAGTGGAGACCGGACCCGGAGCGGCCAGATAGGAGAACAGCGTGGCCATATAGTAAACGAGCGCGGCCATATAGGCGAAGTTCGCCGCCACGTCACCAAAAGGCGGAACAAGATGTTCGACAGCGAGTTTTTGACACCAGCTGGATACTCGTCGTCATCTCCACAGAGTGGTATATAGATTGTTTTGGATGCCTCGTTGTCCCTCCACAGTTGAGTATGCTGATTGCTAGATGTTTGAGACCCTCATCTTCAGTAGCACAACTTCCTTCACCAGTATGAAAATCTCACCACACTTTCTCAGATGATCCGGAAGTAGACGCTCAACCTCAACAAGGAAGCACTAGCTGGCTTCAGGCGGACGCAGTTGGCGACTCAGACCACTCCGTCGTGTACGGCAACTCAAGCAGAGCGCGCATGTATACCAACTCGACCCTCATAGGTTTGGATCTCGACAATTCATTCCTGCAGAGGATGGCAAGCCAGACTATCAGCGGCGATACTCCTCTAGACTGGGATATAATTAGACTAATCAGGCTTGGTCTGCAGCTGCTTCCTCATGAGAGGCAATCCAGGGCGTTTCAGGATTTGGAAAGCCACATCCTCGACAAGAAGAATGCGTCCTCGCAGTTCACTGACATCAAAGGTGCGGCGTCGGCGTTGAAAATTCAGCCAGCCACGCTGATTGCATATGTTCAGGCGTGCAAACAATTTGACGCTTTGCCGGAAGAAGAAGCTGGCGATGCGTCCGAACAATTGGACAAGGCGTCCAAAATCTACGATCTCTTTCTTCGCGCGTTCGAGAGGCCCGCTGCTGCTGCAGTGGTTGGAGCTGGTAATTACAAACACTTTGGGCTACAATACTTGAGAAGAACTGTAGACTTTGTGGATATCCATGTAATTTGCTTACCTCATCTGGACTCTCAAACAGCTGTTGGGTTAAAATCCATGCTTTTTTCTCTCATCCTATTCCAGATACTCCAACCATAGGGACCACACCAGCGCCCGATGATGATCCGGAAGTAGGCGCTCAATTTCAAGGAAGCACTAGCTGGCTTCAGGCGAACGCAGGTGGCGGCTTAGACCACTCCTTCACGTACGGCAACTCAAGCAGAGCGCACATGTACACCAACTCGACCCTCACGGGTTTGGATCTCGACAATTCATTCCTGCAGAGGATGGCAAGCCAGACGCTGCCAGATATCACCGTCGATACTCTTCTCGACCTGGATACCATCAGAATAATTTCCCGCAAACTGGAGCAGCTTCCTGTTTCTGAGACAGAGAAAGCTTCTGCGCTCAAAGAGTGGGAGGACCACCTGCTCACAGGCGCCTCACCCGATGACGCAGGAGTCATACACTTCAGGTCCCTACAAGATGCGGCGAGCGCGTTGCAAATTAGCTCCGACTTGCTGATTGGATATATCAAGGCTTCTAGAGAGTATGCAGACGTCCGAAAACGCTTTGACGATGCGTCCGCCGCCTTTTCCGGCGCATTGAAGACGTCCATTGGTGCTGCAGAGTCACGGAAAGGAGAAGAAGGTAGTTACAAACACTTTGGGCTCCAGTACTATACTTGAGAAGGGCTGTAGACTTTGTGGATATGTAGCTAGACTACTCCATCTGAAATCTCAGTAGCGATTTCTTTTTCCCCTCATCTTATTCCAGATACTTCAACCGCGGCACTCAAACCAGCGTCCGGTGATGATTTCATTACAGTCCGCAACGCGTTGAGCGGCCAGGAATTGTATCGAGTGAGACAGACAGATCTTTCGCCGGACGGCGGGAACGGTGGCCTCACGTCGGCGGAAAAGCTGAAGCTTTCTGGTGGAACAGATGTTCGGGGTGCCAACTCGGTTTTCATCTCTCGCGACAAAACAATTCTCACAGACAGCGACGATTTGGACCAAATTCTGAAGTCGCAGAAGGACCAAAGTGCTGAAGTCATTGTCAATAACGATGGGCGCGTAGGTATTGCTTTTTTTGTGACACTCATTTGATAGCATGAACGTCGATAAAATCAGAGCAATGCAAATTGTGTATAGTTTTACCTATCGACTTCGCAAAGTCAGAAATGAACACATGATAGTGCGTCTTGAATCTTTGTCATGAGTAGACTCGGTAAAAGACTTCTAATCAGCAGCAATATCAAGGAATTCATTTTCTCCACATACCACCAGACTCAAGGAGCTGGGCCGCTGCTGCGTATGCGTTCATATCTGCGCCGTACGAAATGGGGCGTATGCGAGGACAATCCGATCGCGACCGCTTTTCAGAAGGGAAGGAACTGCTCAGAACCATCCGAATTTTTTTAGCAGGTAGGGTTCGCGTGATAAGTTCCTAGCTGAAAAGATAATCCGACAATTGACACGGTCCGGCCGCTCTTTCAGCGGTCATAATCCTGCAATAGAACCGTACTCCTCTAAGTTCCCACCAATTGAGTATCTGTATCTTTTTTTTTACGCTCCTTTATCTCTATCTTACTCAAAACAAAACCACGCAGGAGACAGAGAATGGAAGAATTCGCTTTCTAATTCGCGCCAGGGGATAACAATCGGAGGTCCATTCATGGTCGGAGAGGCGAGCGTCCGAGTTGCAGTTTATCAGGAACAGATAGCTAAAGGTCATGCCGAAGGGGTTAACTCGTTCTGCGCGCTTCCTGCCACTTAAGAAATAGCCAGCTCGTGCACGCCCTCAATTGCCCTGAGTAAATCACAAGGACGCCGTATACACAGGGGCTCGTCGGTTTATGAACGGGGGGGGGCGTTCTTATTTAGGTGGAGGTAGAGCAGAAGCAGGGGTGAGAAGAAAGGAGGCGAATGTGCTACAACTAGCGAAAGGAAGGCGGGGCCGCGGCGAGGCACTGTTCGGCGAAAGCGGTAGGCATGGCCACTCGAAAGCCGCAGGGCACAAGCCTCCCAAAGCGCCAGCAGCTCGGACCCAACGGGAGACGAGGAGCAAAGAGAATGCCAAAGCGGCGCAAAACAAGCAAAAAACTCGCGAAGGCGGAAAATGGCCATGGGAGTGGCCGTCTACGACGAAGAGGAGGATGGCCAGAGCATGGCCAACGACAGCCTTGAAAAGGGCGCGAACCAAGCTCAAAAAGCGAAGAAAACCGAAAGTCTGCAACTGAAAACTTTCCACGAAAAGGCTACAACTGCAGACCTTCAAACCAACAACAGGAGGAGAGTCAGCATACAAAACTAACAGCAACAAACCGCCACAACGACACCACAGCAGAACAGTCCAGGCCAGACTTCAGCGCAGCTGTACGCCTGAAAGCCCAAACCGGACAACTGCGACAAGCTCAGTGAGCTTCTACAGACTCTTGGCACTCACGGCCCAAATTGTGGGAAAGTAGATGGGTGGAGGGTATCGCCATACCCATACTTTCGCGCCCCGAAGCACGGGCTTGGGGCTGGCTCCAAATTTGATCCCTTTGCATTGATATGAAGCAAGGGCAGCGCGGCTCGAAGCGCTGCCTGGCGGCCAGCGTTTCAGTTTCAGACTAGCCCGCTAGCCCCAAGCAGTCGCGCGAACTAGCGCAGCACATGAAGCGGGAGACACGAGAAAGGCCCGGGAAGAGCGACGGCAGAGGGCTGCGCGGGTGAGTGAAGCGAGGGCACGAAAATGAAGCACAAGCGATAGCGATGCTAAGTATGAACGTACTAGGCAAGACTGGCCGAACGAGTGGACGCGTATGGAATGTCCTGAGGCTGGAGCCAAATACCCGAGCGATCCTGTAACTGGTGGCGCTATCTGAATGTGACAGCGTCAGGGCAGGAACTTGTTGGGTTAAAGTCAGGGCATTGGAATGCGCAGGCATTCGGATGGGGTTGGATATTGGTCCACGTATCTATAGGATGCGCGGCCCCCGGGTACAAGAGTAAACGGGTGCCCGCGTGTAGGATGTGCGGCCTTTGAGTGCATGGGCATGCATCTGGACACTCGTGCTCCAGTGCGCTACAGGTACAAAGTGACGCTTCAAACCAGTGCAACTGGAAGCCGGCGCTCTCTTTGCGGATTGTGTTGGATCTTTTTGCATCGGTATGAAGTAGAGCGCGGGCTGTAGCGCTGCCTGGCGGCCACCGTTTCAGACTAGCGCTAGCCCGAAGCAGTCGCGCGACCGAATTGGCGCAGCAGATGAAGCGTGAGAACAAAGGCAAGACAGGCACTCTCAAAGCCATTCGCGCACATGCGGAAAACTGTAGAACTTTACGGCGATGCCAAGTCTGTCACGTTCGCGAGAGAAGTTGCCGAGCGCAGTAGCATAGTCCCTGACGCTTCCGCCACATCTCGGCGCGCCGATTTCAAGTGGCAAAGCCACCGCCAGAGCGTTCCCGGGCGCACTGAATGCCGCGGCAGTGCTTTCATGACCTTGGAGACGACGGGTCGCGGAGGCTCGGCGGCGTCGCCAAGAGTCGCCGACCGCGAAGGCGGCGGGCTTGGAAGCGTCATGCCTTAAATGTTAAGCAAGGGTAAGGATGGACGCGCGTAACATGCTCAGGCTGGCCGCAGTTCATCGCGGAACCCGGTGGCTCGCGGTGTTTCGGCGTGTATGGATGTGCGTCGGGTATTGGCCTCGCTACTCTTTTCGGGTCGACTGGCTTGGTACAGCAACAAGCGTGCGCAATTGCGGCGCGGCCAGGGGCGAAGGCGATGCTGGCTGATGTGGGCTTGTTGCGCAAGATCGCCGCTGCTCGGGACTGGTTTCGATTTTTGAAGCCCCCCGCACTGTGGGGAGACGGAACCTGAAACGGAGAAGAGCTTACTCCGGTCCACTCCTCGCGTAGCGCCGGAGCATAAGCTGCATTTTAAGCATGGAGATCGCAAGCAGCGGGGAAAAGGTTCGGGGACGCGGCGCTCTGGAAAATGCCTGGGCTTGTTTTGAACTTGTAACAATGTCGACTCTTGGCAACCGTCTGCAGAGGTCTGCGAAGGGCCCAGAAAGCACGGGGGCGTAAATGGTGAGCAGCAGCCTCTTACTTGGTGGGGCACCAGGGTCACTCTGGTAGAGTGGAAGCGTGAGAGGGTCTTGAGCGTAGCGCGAACGACTTCGAGCGGTGGGGGGTTCCAGACCTTGCGCGCAGCGGGGTGCTGGGGCGGCTGGTCGTGCGTGTTCTGTTGAACGAGATGAAGGGAAGCAGAAGGGGGAGGAGGCTGGCGGCTGTCGATTACCGCGAAGGCGGCGGCATATAAACCAGGGGGGCTTGCGGTGATGTGACTCCAGGGCTTGGGCGTGAAGTGGCGCGGCGGCTGCGGATCTGACAGCACCGCGAGCGAATCGGCTGCAAAGCGAGAGAATGTGCCCGCTACGGGGCTCCCAGCGCCAAGAGCAAAACCTTACCGGCTACCAGCTCGATGCGATGCCGAGGGAGGAAGCCGCGAATAGAAAGGGGGCTGCTCTGCATGTCGGGAGATTCGCTGGAACTCTGCTGCCGGCTTTCTTTTTCTTCTGCGGGGGTATCTGTGTCTACCATTATGATTATGCGAGACGTGGCCCCAGCTTGCCTGGGGTCTGACTGCATCAAGAAAGCTGGGGGGATTGCCTCTCTCACGTTGATGGGCGTCACGTCTGGCCATTCGGGCTTGGTTGGACCTCGATGGAACTGCCTTGGCGTCACGTTGACGCAGAGCCGCCGCGACCTCACGCTGTTGTGAGTTGTGGAGGCCGAAGGGGTGAGTTGTGCGCAGACGAAAAGCGTACGAAAAAGCCCCGCTTCATTATCGGGCTGCTCGAATGTGAACACCGTAGGGCCTTCGTGGTTCTTCGGGGCCTCAGGGTGTTCAAATTCGAACGGCCAAAGAATAAAGCGCGACTTTTTCGCCAGGCTTCTGCGTACAACTTAGCCCACAACTTAGGCCACAGCCCGCCACGAATTAGGCCACAACTTCCACAACCTAGGACACAGCCGCCACAAATTAGGCCACAAGTGTGCGCCACAACTTAGCGCATAGCTTCCACAACTTAGGGCACAGCGCCCACAACTCTCCAGAACTTAGAAGGAAGACGCGGGCAACACCAAGCAACACGCCTCGCGTGCACATTGATAGCGTTTCCCAGCTCTTCGCGCGTCTCAAAGTGGCGGCGTGCGAAGCCCCCGCATTTGCTTAGCGTCGTGACTGGCGCCACGCCTCGCGCTGCCACTGCCGCGCGCCGGGCGTTCTGCTGGTACGCTAGTGCTCGCTCTAACACCTTCCCCAGGCAAGAGTATCCCAGTGCGAACCTTCGCGGCTTGCTCGTGGAAGGCATGGGCAACCCACGCGAGCCAGGATGGGGCATGCAAGGTCTTGGAGAATATTTAACGGAGAGCGCACGCAAGCCCTGAGATGGTCACGGATGGCAGCCTTGACACTTGAAAGCGCGCCAGGCCTATCCATTCGCACCTGCTAACCTCAGGGGGGCGAGGCGGGCTGATAAAAGTAGCGGCTTGCGACTCTTGTGACAGGCTTTGGAGCTTATTCGCCCCTCCCTCAGACTACCACGAAACTACCCGCGTAGAACTATTCCCGCGCAAAGCCACTAAGTAGGAGACGATACTGAAAGCGCAAAGACAGAGCATAGAACACCCAAAGGCTGCCGGCATACCTGCCAGCTTGGCACATCTGCCAGCTTGGGCGACGCTCCACACGCCGAGGCCGAGCGTGACGCTGCAGCGGGTGCTGTTCTACCAAAAAGCGAAGATCTCAGCACCAGAAAAGACGCCAAACGAGCCAAGGAGATCGTCGAGCCAAGAGGCACTGGGCCTCGAGCGCTTACGCAAGTGGGACACTTGCTTCTAAGACAGTTGGATATCTAGTTCTAGCGCGTTGCTGCTACCAATGCGTAGGGAAATTGGAAACCAGGCCCAGCGCCGGCGTCGCTTGTTCTGCTGATGCTTACATCATGTGCCGGCCTATTTGTAGTAGCCACTAAGGCTGAGGCCGACTTGGGTGATGGCTTGGCTAGCTCTCGGGTGGACGGCCTAGGGTGCGCGTGCGGGCCTTTGCGGTCTGTGCTCCGTCGTGAACGTGGACGCCGGTGCCGTGACCGGTTTGCTCCACCTGACGACTTTCACGCCCAGCGCGCAAGCGCTTCAGCGTGGGGCCCGGCATTTGCTTGATTATTAAAGCTTCAAGGCCAAGCTCAAAGTTGGCGATTTGCTCGATAAAATCGAAGGGCACTGGCAGTAGAACGGGCGTAGGAAGTGGATAGCATTTGTGGGGCCAGATTTGTGAGTAGCAGACTTGCGCAGGAGTAGGAGGTATAGAGAGTCTGAGCGGTGTCAGGGATGGCGTTTGGGGCGACTGATGCCGCCCACGGAGGTGGGCGGGGTGAGTGGCTGCGGCTCAAGAAAGAGCAAGAAAAGGGTAGGCATGACTGTAGAGAATGAGAATTGTGAAAATTGCGTCGAGGGTGATGGACGTGAAGCGCATAGAATGCGAAGGGAGTGCGCATTTGAATGAGATTGGATACTGATGCGCGTGTAGCATGCGCCGTTCTTGGGGACGTCACGTGGGTAAATAAGTGCCCGCGTGTAAGATGCGTGGCCTCCGGGTGGGTATTGGTCTAGCTCTAGGCCTTCGCCCTTCAGTGCGCTCTGGCGTGATCCGGCCAGCTGAGTCGGGCGTGTGCGCTGTCCTTGCAAGTCTGAGGCCCCTTTTTCTTTTTTGCGTTGTTATCGCAGGAGGCGAGTGCCCGCGCGCGTGTGTGGTGGGCCCTTCGTTATCTTGGCCCCGCTCTCCTGCCGAGTCCCCCGCCAGATGGCGTGGGCAGCTGGCCCCCTCGTGACTTCCACCACTTTCGTCGGGCGACAAGCTCTCCTGGCCTTCCCACTCTGATCAGGGTCTGGCACTCGGGTAAAGGGTCTGTAGTTGTTAACGGCCGGACACCACGGCGACCCAGTGAGCTTCCACAAGAGTAGGAACTGCCCGAGCACCCGCCCCATTTTGCCTTGCGGCGTTTTGTTCGGTTCGATTGACAGGCGTGGGGGGCTGGTGAGGGATTCTTCTAAGACAGTGACACTCCCACGGAGGAACAGCTTACGAGAATGTGCGACCCAGCGAAGCAGTGCAATAACGACATGACTTGGATTTCGTTTGGGAGGGACGTGATTGGGGGCAACGCGCCAAGAAACAGAAAGTGCATCTTTGTTGCTCTTGTTGATATGAATAAGAATCCGCGTGAGCTGGTGGAATGGATGCCTTTTCCACGAAACTAGAGTATGTAAGCTAGTTGTGGATTGTTCCTAGGGTTGACTTAAGATTTGAGAAAAGCGCAAAGAGTTACAGCCAACCACTTACATCGATACTGTACATCTTCGTACTACTCACGTATCACTATCAGCATCAGGTGAGTGCTTATATATATATAATTAGGTATTCAGTCTTAGTATCTATATCACTGGGTGAACAAGAATTATACATATTTATTAGTTATTAGAAGAAATTCTTCACGACCTCTAGTAAGCCCTGCTTAGCCCTCTTATCCTCGCCGTAAAAAGTCACCCAATCAAAAAACTACAAGCACTAGACGCATTGCCTTTGGAATTCATTCCAAAAGTAGCGTTTGTTCTTTTGTTATATGCGGAACCGAAGATAAAGATCGATCATAAATATGTAACCCAAGACCAAAATCAAGAGACGAAAAGAAAGAGCCTGGGTCGTCTGCTGATAGTGCTGCGCGTTTTTCCTCCTGGTCCATGCACTTTTCTGAAATCCATATGTAGGATAGTAGAGAAGGTTGACGAAGAAGAATCGCTATCGCAAGGGCAAGCAGAGGCTTCTGTCGTTCTGATGTTTCTGTCAACATCCCGCGAGGGCCTTATCGGTGCACTGCAAGCGAGGACGTGAGTCACTGCAACGATACCGAGAGATAAGACCCACCCGAAAAGAGCCCACTTTGAAAATTTCTAAACAAGTCATCTAGTGTAGCTGTGTTTGCGTATCCGATGATGCCACAGATATTGCGTGCATAAGTATGCACAGGTGGTATGGTTTATTGAAGCAGAGAAACTGATTGAAAACTCCACTTTTGTCTTGTGTCTAAAACCTTTGTTGGTTATAAATATTTTATATATGATTGCTTGTTGTCCATGAGAAGCCAGGAGTCTATGTACTATGGTGCAAGAAGACGTGAAGAAACATTTCCACCTCCAGCAAAAAGTTAATGAAGTTCGTCGTTCTAACTCCAAGTGCAGGCCAGAACACGGCACATGAGCGCTCCACGAGTCGTACAGCTCTGGAGGTTTTGCTTTGGCGCTAAGGCGAGATCCGGTTGTTTGTTATCGTCAGTCGCAGGTTGATACAGCCCGCATGTATCTGCGTTCTATGCAACCGCGCCGGGTGGCAAGGTAGGCATACCTCTGCTTCGGCGGTGGAGGACTGGCGGAAAGCCGCCTCAATAGTGCCAAATGCAACGCAGACCTGTTACTGCGCGTTGTTGATTGGCGAGCCCCTGTTCGGTGGTGTGCCTGCATCTGGCATGAATAGAACTTTCCCCACACGATGATCCGTGAAGCAAACGGCTCGTCTTGAGCGAGTTCTTCTCTTCAAAGACCTTCTGATAGTGTCCTTTGAGCAGCCTCTGAAATCTGATAGTGGCGCGTGCGGCGCTTGAAGAAGGCCCCTGAGCTGATCGTGATTCTCGGTGACATCTTCACCATTCCAACGACGAACTCGTGACGATGTATGATGGATCGCGAAAAGGTGTGCGCGACCTTCTTTCAAAGTAGTTGCATCTACGAGCTGCTGGACGAGGAGGCGAAAGCGGAACACATCTTTTCACTGTATGCTACCAGCTTGGACTTGCTGGACTCCAAAATATGGAAGAACATACAAAAGATTTATAAAAGTTGCAAGTCCATAGTAAAGTACAACAGACCTAAAAAATTCGCCTATTTTGATTCGGCGATCTTTCATTGGGGAAAGCAGTTTGAGAAAGAGCGCCCCTGTGCAGCGGTCGATCGGTGAGTGTCTAACTCTTCTGTTTATGAACAAGGAAGCAGTATTTCGTATTGATGGTGCCCTCTGATGTGGATTCTTCTCAGAGTGCGATCTTCTCAGAGTGCGAAGTCCATATTTCCAGATGCAGCGGCTATGAAGTGGGTCCATCAGAAACGAGAGATGATAAACAAGAGACGCAGAACAGAAGACGGAACTTGGGTTCTCTTTTGCTGCAAAAATTCAGCTTCGGCCATTCCTCCGTCATCCATTTCCAAAGACATTAGCAGTTCAACTACGACTATCGCATATCCGGATACGAATTATAGTAAGTAAGTATTTGTATCTATTTTTAGCATTCATTGTTCCCAACCTCACTACCAGTTGCTTCAGAGAAAAGTACTAGAAGTCTCGCAGCTGCTTATATCAACTATGACGGATGTGCTTTGACGACAACGTAGTCTAAATCTATTAAAGATCGAAGTCTAAATTTAAGTTTAAGATTACAAAGATGCCACGCAAAGACGCGGTTCGTTGGCGCAAAAAAACGTCTGAAAGCGATCCTGCGCAAGCTGACCGAAATTTCGCGAGTGCATCTCTAGAAATTGTTGTGAGACCTCGTCCTGTTGAACATTCGAGAACGATTAATGAAGCTAGCGCCAACCATAATGATAGCAGCACCAAATATCATGATGGGCACCAGTCGTTCTGGAGCGCCTCCGATCATAAGCAGGTGGAGTTAGCTTATCCAGCCAATAGCACATCCTCCACTTGCCGACCCTCGTCACCTAGACAGGCTTCCTTTACACCTGCTGCGTCAAGAGAGGACGATCGGAACAAGACGACTTCGGGACACGCTTGCTCCTTTACACCTGCTGCGTCAAGACAGAACAAGCAAAACAGGCAGAAGACTGCTTCAAAGCGGTCGTGTGCGGTAGTGTGGCACAAGTGGACCGACTTACGTCTCGACGACCATGAGCCTGCAGTGCATGCCCATCGCAACTTTTCTGAAGTGCTGCATGTACACTTGATTCCCTTAAGATTCAAGATAGATTAGGCTGTCACGTCATCATAACATGTCAGGACGTCTCAAGTTCTTGGTCTATATACCATCGGGGAAGGCTTGTTGATTATTGATCAATATATACTAGGTGGTTTGTTCATTCCTGAAAGTAAATATGCATTTGGGCTTTGTAATTCTTAAAGTACAAGGTAGCAGGCAAAATATGTGAATATCACCTAAGTAGTAGACGACCAGCACGATGAACGGGTCTCGTTCATACCAATGAGAAAGCAAGAACTTGCCTCCCTCCTCAAGATCATCTTGATTTTCATCCTTCTTGTGTGAACAATCCGTATTCAGCTAAGAAAACGCAGTTTATTGCACTACGAAAGTCGGAGCCGCGAGGCCAAGTTGCCGCGTTGTTCGCCGTTACGCGCCAAGTTTTGGATGGAAAGTATACTGGATTTGGATGCCCGCTTGCGAGCGGCGAGTGCGGGAAAGCAGTATTTACATGTGGAAATGATTGACGATATTGGAAAGATCACGAAAGGCGCGTCGTCCATTATCACATCCACGAGCACATCAAAAGATATGAAGTCCGAGAAAGAGCTCCTGAATCGCGACAACAAGGAGCAAGACACACGGGCAACGTGGAACATCAAGACGAGTGGCTTTGCAGATTTTTTCTTTGAAAAGCTTCGGCTTCATCAACAAGGACAACATGAACAACATCGAAGGTCAGACTCAGAACTACAAGTGACAAAACCTGCTACAGCCTACCATATCGTAACCCATTCTGAGTTCTGCACGGAAGAGCTTGCTATAGAAGCTGAATTGCGACAACGGTTGCTAGAGCCGAACCTGGAGTCAAGTTGGGTGGAGTCTAGCCAGGTGACTAACATTAAGGCTCAATGCAATTCCTTTTCAGCAGTCATGTCTCACCTGTAGTTCCTTTCTGGGATGGGTTGGGTTTTTTGGCGTTTCTGTTAGCGTTTTCTTTTGACTCTTCTCATGGGGAAGTAGAGCATAACAAACGGGGAACAGAAACACCAAAACCCTACTTCTAATAGCATAACCTTCCAGACCTTTTGGGGTGGGCAGACGTTGACTCATGTAGACGATCTAGGCCTAAGAGATGACCCTTTGAACATGCCAGAGTTCAAAGGGGAGTTTAACAAGGTTGCGAAAAACTGTCGACTACGTCAGAGCTGTGGATTTCCCATTGGTCAATTCTCTCTCGAAGATGTTCACGTTGAAAAGCAGAGGATGGTGGCGACCGATGTGGATCTTGATGAAAAGCCGTATAATGGGAAGACACCACTGAGCACGCCACAGGAGGGAACGCAGATGACGCCCAACGCCAAAAAGTCATGTCTGAAGCCACCGCCACAGGAGTTTGGCTTCCTGTCACGTGCAGACTTCGAGAAACAGATCTTTGATCTGTTCGACGAAGCGATTCTTGGTAAGGAAGCTAGACGCAAATATGCTGAAAAGTTGCTGGGTTTGGACAAGAAGTGGACGGAAGAGGTAGAGGATAGAGAAGCTTATAGAGAGCAGCTAGTTCAAGAGGTGCTTGACGAGAGCGCCTGGAAGATCATGGGGACTGATCACAAGACTAAAAATCCGTACGAGCTTTCATCGACTGGCTTCGAGCATCGTTGGTTGGGTGGCGAGACTGCTGCTCGCACTTATCTTACTGACTTTTTTTCGGGGCCTGAGAAATTGTCGGCGTATCGTGGAGCAACCGAGTCGTTCGCGCATGGGGAGGAACATAATTTAAGGCGAACGGGGAATGCTCTTCAAGAAAATGATTGAGTGACTTTGTTTCTCAAGCTACTTACCAACCTCGTTACCCAGTTATCATTAATCTCGGTCGGTCGCGGTCCTCTAAGTAGTTCGATCTTCAGCGGTACACGGCTATCTCCATGGCTGGCATTTGGAAACGTCTCTGCGAGACAGGTTCTTCAACAAGCGCGCGAGTGTGAACGACGTTTCGGGAAGAAAGGGAGTAATATGGCTGAAACTACTAAGTAAGTACTTACTTAATAGTATGAAAGAAAAGATGAAGAGCCTGAACTGAGACGGATGCTGTAAGACCTAATGTTGATCGTGGGCTATTATAATACCCTAGACATTTCTATTTCTTATGCATTCATGTTGATCCGCAGTAAAGGAGGCAAAGGCGTGGGAAAGACGGGGAGCACAGGAGCGCGGTTGCACACAGAATTGCTCTTCCGAGACTTTCTAAGATTTAGCGCTTTCTGCCTCTGGGGCAAGAAACTGTTTTTGCGCGATGGACCTATGTTATGGCAGGATCGATTGTTGTACACTGATCTAAAAAACAAATTGAAATTTAACCGATCTACATTTGAGTTCGCAGTTGGTGCAACACCTCGCTTCTCTTTTTTGTGCATTCTTATGGCCCAACATCTAAGTATTTATTCTGCAGCAAGTTCTCGGCATTGCTTAGTATAATCATGGAGCAAGCGAGTCGCTCTGTGTGAAGGCATGGCATATAATGATATGCGCAGACTAGTCGACTGTCTACCTCAGCGTCTACCTCAGCAGACCTTTTGTTTTTGAATTTTAGGTCTTTCGTGATCCGATGATACTAGTACTAAGCAACTTCTAGTTCTTTCTCTACCCTGCCCTTGTTTCCCTTTCTTACATTTCACATTTTTTCACCCTCTGGTCTGAGAGGGGAACACATACATTCTACATTCTTTCATGCTCCGGTCTCACGTCAGAACACAAGGTCAAATGGCGCTATGATCGCGCTGCTTTTCGGAAATGGCAGCTAGGCCGGACAGGATTCCCATTCGTTGATGCGGGGATGCGGGAACTGCTCAAAACCGGGTATCTCTCGCATCTACACCGACAATGCTGTGCCGCGTTCCTTGTTTTATGACTGCTATAGAAAGGCAGACTATGCCTGTGAGAAGAGAAGAGAGGCTACATCCTAAAGAAGGAGACTAGGTACATTCTTCCTATAATGATCCGTGATCTACAAATCGATTGGCGCTGGGGCGCGGAACACTTTGAAGCTACCCTGGTGGACTACACGCCTGATGCAATTATGGTTTATTCTCATTCCTCGATGGATTAGAATTACCATTTTCAAAATTGACCTTCGTAAGAGTCTAAGTTTTTCCTGTCGATTATCTTTTGCTCCTGCAGTGATTTTACTTGAAACAAAAGGGTCACTGAGGAGTATAGGTTAGCCTATGTTTCTAGGCTACTTTGGGATTTCGAAATGAGAAACTCAAACTTCTAACTTAAACTGGGGAAATTGGGCTTATCGTATCTTACCTAGACCTTGCCTTGCTGTCTCTCGGGAAAAGTGGATTCTTGCTGAACAGACAAAGCAGAAGGTGCAGGTTTCGCGCTCTGGTGGTGCTGCGAATAACAAAACAGAAACTGAAACTCAGACCTCTTCTAGTAATCAAAATGTTGCCTCAAGAGACAACCAGAAGGTTAAGCGTGGATCCTCTAGTAATATGAATATATTAAATGCTCCAGCAAAAGGACCAAGACCAGGTGGGCAGAAAGAGGAGGCTGCAGTAGAAGACAGAAGTGGACGCGGAGAAGCTACTTCGTCCCAGCACTACAGCGAGAATCTTTTAACACCTATAGCACAAGTAGGACGACCGCCATCCCCCGTGCCACACCTCAGCACGATGGAGTGTGTCGTTTGGCCTGTGGTGCATGATTCTCGGATGGAACACACGTTATTTTGGGTGCCCGAACTCCAGCCAATCTTAAGGCTTCCCGATATTCTTTTTATTTCTACGTGCCCCCTCGACTTCGCGTACAAGAAGAGGTTAGTGGTTTAAATTAATCGAATCGTTTTTTACGACGCATCCTACTTTGACGTGCTGTTGGTGTTTCCAGGAGGACACACTTCTCTCAACAACTTCCTCCACTTGATTGTCGTTGAAATGCAAAGGCTAATAAAAGCCAAGTACAAACACCTCAAGAATAGGTACAATCATCATCATCATCATCATCATCATCATGTCATAAGATCAAGCACACCTGAAAGAGGGGACTTTTAAATTTCAGGTGGGAAAGGGAGTATCGATATTTTTAAGGTCTAAGAATATTTGACTCTCTGGGACCTGACTTCGCACGGGAGCCGTGGAGAGCGTTGGATCTAGAAAGTGGTGATCTCCCGTCGTCGATGGGTTCGTCTTCTATTGGCGAAAAACGTCGAGGTAAACACCAGGGCCAGAAAGATCCCGGTGGTGAAGTGATATCCATTCGGCCTTATAATTAAGGTACTAGATACGAATACTTATAAATATTTGATCGAGACGAGTCTTTTTCTGGTTTCTGTCTTTCCTAGTTAGGTGCCCCACCACTACTGTCCCAGGATGTGGACGACTATACTGAGTCGCGAAATCACCCCTGATCTGAGGGGGGAAATAAAAGGGGAAGAGGGCAACATACTCGACCAGGGATAGTGTGGTAGTACGTGTAAGAAGATCCCCAGAGCAGCTGTCCTTTATTGATTTGATATTCGTCCTAGCGGAGGACGTTGAGCAAGAAAGAAGGGAACTTAAGCAGCAGCGCTCTAATATAAAGATTCCCCGCTCTGGTTTTGCGCAGCAAATCGAACCAATTGGGATTACGAATATTATTGGCTGCGCCCTGGGAAAGCGGTTGTGTGGCAAACAGATGATACAGGACCAACATCAAGAAGTTCTTGCTCTTTCAAAGACAGCACCACAGCGACAACTAGTATTGCAGCCGCGGGCATGAAAATGGAGAAGCCGACTCCATTTTCTGAGAGAAGGTATTGGCCGCCGATGGTAACGCCAGTGAATTTGATACTCGATTTGAAACAACTACCGATTCAAAACTTCGTATGGAAGGAAACTGTCTGATGGACGTGATGTGATGTGTAGTCTGAAGGATGTGACTCAAAACTTCGCATGGAAGGATGAGATGTGTAGACGGGAAGCGCCTTTTAACGAAGTTCCAAGAATGAACTCAAACGATGTCGCAATAGTTGCATTACCCGACGCTGATGAGATCCAATGCATGGCAAAAGAACCATGCAACTGTTATGAACGCGCGAAAATGAGTCAGTCATTGTATATGAGAGTGCTTCTCGGTCGTTTTGCCAGTTAGACAGTTCATTCCTTCGTTGTATATGAGAGTGCTTCTCGGTGTTGCCACTCAGACAGTTCTTCTATCCTCTATCCTCTAGACTGGGCACACTGCGGCACCTGCTACTACCTCTACAGAGATTTTGACTTTCTGCCTAGCGAGTCCCAAAGTTCTGTCTGTGATGTCATCCAGAAAAGCCCTTTGACACCTTGTTCTCAATGTTGAAGCTGCATCAGCACTAGTGCCGTAGATTTACACCACCGTAATGAATGAATGATAAAGAAAGATATGGATGGGAGGTTCGTCCTCTCCGAGAAACAAAGAAAGTAAGTGCATACTGCCTAGTATGTAGCTGGAGCTTCCCTATCTTTTCGCTGACTAAACACTATGTGTTGAAAAGCAGAATCACCGTGGTCAAGATCCTCATTGCATGATCTTGAGACAGAATGGAGTCGTTCTGGAAGATCGTGGCGTGATGGGGCAGAATTATGGGGTGATGGACATGGATAGAAGTGGCGCTTCTTAAGGCAACCAAGGGAGCATCCTCAGGACCATCCTTGGCCTCTTTTTCAAGGGGAAAAAGGGCACGGGTTGGTCTCAGGGACGCGACGCGGTAGCTCTAATCTTCGAGCAAAACGGCTTCGTCTCCCCAAGCCGCGCGTGCCGAAGGTGAGAATCACTGGAAGAGGGTCAGCATTGGTGAAGACAAGGATCAAAAAGAAACGAAGGCACCAGATGCACGACCGGAGGAATGTTTGATACAACATCAGGCGATGATGACGTTGATTCGGATGAGTGGAGACGAATGGAAGTTCCCATTAGACAGATCTTCCGATATGGAGACATCTCTGCAAGACATCAAAGAAATGCTGGTGAGAGAAGCAAAGAACCCAGAGTCCGACATCCTGTATCCGGCTGATGAGCAGGGGAACCGATGTGACGAATGGATTTACGAGCGGGAAAGGTGTTTCTTGGTTGTGTCCTTCATGGTAGATCTGAAGTCTATCAACGGTGTCTCTTCGACTGCGGATCTGTCAATAGAGTGGTCTCATCCCACATCGATCCACTCACGCATACAATAAACTGTGTTCACTTGTTCGTATTAGTTCTTAACCTAACCTAACCTAAACTGTCGTGTTCACTCCATAACCCAACCTAACCTTCTTACAAAGTCAGACTGTAAGAGAAGCATCAAGTCCTCTTGGTACTTATTTTCAGTAAACAGCCCCATTTTCCATTTTCAAGCTTTTGATTTTGAGATGAAGAGAGACTGCAAGTCCATTTATTTTAGCAGGAAAAATTGTATGACTTCTTACGGTTGCTAGGAAGTCGAAGTCCTCCAACTAAAAAAAAAAAAAACTTAATCTACTTGATAATTCTAAGTAATCTACAACCTCATCTAATTTATAGCAGGGGGCGCGAGGATACCGCTATCAGCTATTTCCTTCTTCACGGAGGACACGTTCGAAACCCTCGCAGGTTCCAGGTTAGTACCGGAGTGCGATTGTCGTGCCAGGGTCATTTTCGAGACGTTTGCGAAGCACGATCCTCCTGCAGCAAAAGCTCTGCAAGAATTCGAAGCAAAGCTGGAGCAATTAAGAGGACTACTTTTTATCAGCGGGAAGTATCAACTTCAGAGGACCCGCCTCTTTTACAGCCTCGTTGATTACTCGCTCTCATCTTCGCTTCGGCTCTAAAGAAGGAACTCGAGGGGAGTGCTGATATACCCGAAAAGCACAGGAAAGTCGGGAAGGAGAACAAGCGGAAAATAGCACAGTGGTGGCTGCGTCGATTAAGGCACCAAAAAGGCGAAAGTAGAATATATATCATCATCATGTATATGAATAAAAGCGTACCACGTAGCCTTGTGAACTAGGCGTCCGTGCTGACGCTGAGTATGTCTTTTTACAAAGAGGACAGAAGCTCAATTTATGCGGGTCGACAGATATAATTTCCATTTTTTGGGGCGAACTCGAAGCGGTCAGCATTAACTGTAACAGCATCCACTTGGCTCAAGGCTTATGGCCTTCTGAGTAGGTACATCACTCAATGACACTAGTATGCTTTGCTAGCTGTATGATCATCGTGACAGCATGTCTTTCCAGATGAATTATCTTGCTGAGCTCTAAGTAGGTGCACTCGGGTGTTGATCAAATGCGAGCGCACCAGGAGCCAGAAGAGGGAAGATTAAGATGCAGATAACTACTTGTAGATAGATTGATACTCATCATATTGATGAATGAAGATCAGTCTGTAACTATTTTGTTTACAGTACTAGTAGGAGTCGTCGTCGTCATCGTACTAAAGCAGGAAAGAGTCGAGCGTTGTTCTTGTTTAGAGAGGAGGGGTAAGGATCCTCTAAACGGCCCAAATGACCGATGCGAACCGCGATCTTCAGGAAATTGTCTACCACATGGACGCGGAGTCTTTCCGGCTAATAGCAACGGAAAAAGAAGCGTGGGGAGAAGCCTTTAACGAATACGACGACATAGTCTCCACATATTTACGGCCTGCAGTTCTTGATGTAGGTGTCTAGGTCTCCTAGGATCCCTGGCCTAACCTAGGTAGAAAAGGTCCCTAACCTAGCCTAACCTAGGTAGAAGGATCCCTGACCTAACCTAACCTAGGTAGAAGGATCCCCAGCCTAACCTAACCTAGGTATAGAAGGATCCCTAGCCTAACCTAACCTAGGTATAGAAGGATCCCTAGCCTGACCTAGGTAGAAGATGAATAGATCTTCAGGTTTTTTTAATTCCCTATTAGCTTTTTCTACTTATCACTCACACTCTCTACTCCTAGCCTCTGCTTGGAGAAAGACAGGCTTTTCTCTACGTCTGCTTCGTAGTCGTACCTACTCATACACTAAATTAATAAGTATGCGAATGAAGGTGACAGATCATCCGACGACGACAAGCTTTAAACTAGCCTCCGGACGATCGGGATTGGAGCGAGTTTTTGGACGAGAGCAGTTTCCACGGTGTAAAGTTTGGTGTTGATCTCCTTTCTTCGGCTATTTGTACCCTAGGATTACTTACGGCGACGGAAATCGATAAGCACATCCAGAGTGCAAGCACTACTCTCTTAGTAAGAAAGCGTTCAAGTAGAAGAGTAAGACCTACAATCAGTTACTTTACGCGGAACGAGGCAACGTTCAAGCACGCGTTCCGGCACCTACGGAGGTGTCGCTGACGCAAGATACTGAGTCTGAAACGTCTTTACTACCCTTCATATTTCTGCGGCTCCGGGATGAGGATCTGTTGCGAGTGCTTTAAGGCTAGCGCTGTCTCAATTGCCCAGAGTGAAGACAATGACAAAGTCGGTGTACTTCTATTCCAGATCTATATCAAACGTGGATAAAGAGGAAGTTTACGGAAGTCCAAAGTATGCTGAGCTATCTACTTTATTGGCACATCTAACAACAGGAGAAGCAGATTTATTATCACCACCACATAGCTGACCACTACAATTGCAGCGATGCTCCTCGAGGTTTTTTTGCCGCAGTACCTGATGACTTTGCTATCCATCCGGGCTTGAGGAAGATTGAAGTCCGGAAGCAGATCCTCGAATTATATTTGCAAGTCTGCCTTGAGGATACCACCCGTTTGCGCAAGGAATCTGCGAGGTCTCTGCTCCAGCAAGGGTTGGAACTCATGAGGAGAGGCTGCATCGGTGTCAGCGTCAGCCCCAGTGCACCGACGATACAAGAGAGTCCGCGGGAATACCCCGCAAAACAGTGGTGGTACGAGCGAGACCTCGCATTTCTGCGGGTCTTGACGCAGGATTTGACTAGCGAAGACCTCGATGTGGTGTACGATGCAACACTGTTGAGGAAGGCAACTACACGTTTTTCACAAGATCGATCCTCGTGTTTATCAGGAATTTAAGAGGTACAAAGGTAGTTGAAGCGGTAGCAGTGCCACAGGGAAGCGCTCGAACACCTTCACGACTTGGACTTCATGGCGAGATCTTAATGAAGTCTGCTCTGGTGAAGCACTTTACTAGAGCAGACCCCACCTAACGCAGCACCTCACCAGAGCGGATCTGATCGAGCACATTTCGTCAACATTTAGCACCTTTCACATTGCTCCCCCTTCTATTTTTACTTCGGTTGCTGACGTTGTGGGATACAGATGGGTCGTTCTGTACGTAATAGGTCAATTTTTGTGGCAGGACAAAAACCTCTATGAACCTTTTTTGCAGTTTTTTCCTCTGTGATGTGGATATTTACTGGGTGGCGCTTTGCCCCCTTTTTTCTTCGTGTGGTATTTTGAACTGATGCAATAATGAACGGGAAAACACGCGATGCCACTGTGAAAGATGTGAAACTTTACAGCTAAGTGCGTCCTCTGTGTCTATAAATCATGTAAATATTTGCGACGCCTTATGGCGCCGAATGTCCATAACCATGGCCCACGCTTTGAACCCGGTGCGCGAGCGCTGTGGTGGCCCATGCAACGGGGATACTCGCTGCGGCGAGCTTGGTGCACGACCTAGCCAGCGCAAAAAGCCCAACTCACAATCAAACCCAGCTGCAGACGAACGCTCATCCAACGAAGAGAGCCAAGACATCAGCCGAAAAGAAAACGACGCGAAAAAACAGGCAATCTGCCACGCCGCCGGCGACCTGGAGGTGGAGTGCAGGTGAGATTTGATGTAGTATAACAAAGGAGAAGTCAGTGCTGTGTCACTCGGTGTGACCTGTTGGAGGAGATCTAATACACGACACGGACGACGAACGAGAAACAAGCGCAGGCCAATGCCTACGTCGGCGTCGAAGCGGCCGCTCAGCCATGATCGCTATCGTCCCTCCGGTCTCGAACTCAAGCTCAAGAGCCCTTCTTTCTTGCTCGGCATACAGCGCCACTGAATGCGAATCACTGCGCACGCTGCTTACTTCTTCGCTGAGAGTCTGTTCTTTATTTGCAGGGGAAGGAAGTCAGTCTCAATGTGGGAACTTCGTTGCATGGGAGATTTGCCCCAGTCAACACTAGCAGTTTCGTGCTCGTTGCATGAAAATAGAAGAGACTGAGCCTGAATGGCATTGCATAGCGTAGCATCTAGCATGGAACACTTGATAAATAGATCTGCTGGGAAATCAAATGTGTCTGAGTCTGAGAGTCCATCATCAAAGCCCTCAACAAGGCAGTCAGCATTGCTCGCCTTGCCCAGGCCCACCCAGCCTACAAGGCCACGACTTGGAACCTCTCGCAATCAGCACCGATCAGTTCATCTCTACTTCTCCACCTTGGCCACAGCCTCGCTCCTGCAAGAACTTCGATGTGGGACTGGGAGTGGTCATAGTGAAGTCTTCAAGTTCGAGGCTCATATTCAGTTTGCGCCTCTTTGCGTCACAGTCGTCAGCAATCGACCCGCCAGCTTTTCCATTTGGCGTGGAGAGCGACCCTCCAAAGAGGGGAGACGAAGATGACGACGCGGCCGAACAAGAGGTGGATGAAGACGTCGCGCGAACCGTCGCTGACTCAGTAGTGGATGACGAAGTAGTTGCTGAAAGAGTAGTTGTAGTCGACGAATTTGCACCGGGAGGAGAAACAGCAAGAGATGGGGAGGAGCTCGCGCTGGTTCCTGTTACTCCAGATGGTGAGGTCGCGCTGTCTGGTGATTCTCCGGAGCGCGAACTTGATGATCTTGCCGAGGAGTCAAGAGTCTGAGGGCTTCCGGGGTTGCTGCCGTAAGTGATCTGGATGCCCTTGCAGGGGAACCGGATAAGACTGACCCAAGTGCTATCCATCGACCAGACACCACTTCCCCACATCGAGCAAGGCTGAAGCGAAGATTTTGCGAGCTTGATCAGCCGGATAGTTTCACGACGGTGATAATCTCGGGACGCCTCACAAGGGACCGCAGCTGTTAGTTTGGTGACGAAGTAGAGAATAAGAAAGTCACACCTTGCGACATCACATAGACAAGCAGGCGCTCAACCCTCGGGCAAAGACTTATGCATCTATAGCTTATATATAGCAAGAATCTACATGCTCACTATCCAAGACGCGGCCACCTCGTGGCGCGTGACGCATAAGCGAACGCTCGCAACTAGACTAAAACAAAGGAGCGCCTATGATCTTCGTCTTTCGGTGCCTACTCGCAAAGGCAGCGCAGGCCGCTGGGCAAGCTCGAAAAAGGACGACATCCAAAGCGACACCATAGGCTTCCAAGATGGCCGAGAGCTGCTGCCCATAAAATTCCAAGTTCGGGTGGCCTAGAAATGGCGATCCCTTCGGCGGCTGAAATCTCGGGCCCTGTCTATCATTAGAAAGAAGCTGGAGTGATGGAGCAATCCTGCCGCAAGACGAGAACTCTTTTTAAACATTCACTACGATCAACTAGTAGACAGCGCTCGCTTTCGTCTACGTATAAACAACGAATGTTCAGTCTCAAGCTCGAGCAAACTCTTTCCATAATCTTTTTTTTAGTTTTCGCCTTCCCTTTCCCCTTGCCCTTGTCGGGTTGTGACTCTTCCTGCGCCTCCTCTTGTTCATCCTCTTGTTCATCAATGGCCCCGCCTTGCGGTTGTGGCACCAAATGTTCCGGGTCGATATAGCGCGTTCGGGTGGCCGTCTCCTCCTCAGCAAGTGCTGCTTTCGCGTGCGGATAATTGTAAGAGACAAGGACCTCCAGCGGTGGGATCTCCAGGTGTCCTGGCTCTTTGCAGCTCGCGATCGGCACCGGCAACAAACCACCTCGGAGATGCTTGTTTACGTCGTTGATTAGAGAGCAAAGCAAAGCAAAAGATCACGACAGCGCCCGACTTCGTTAGTATTATAATTGTACTCCTCTACAAGTACTACAACACTCCTATTCTTATAAGCTCTTACTCGAATCAAAATAAATCTTACTGACATAGATCATACATACTTGCGCACTTTTATAAATAATAGCATACTCTTCTCTTGCAACTCGTGATAAGTTCCTCCGCAAGTAAGACTCAGACTACTCTTACAGCAGCAGCGCGTTACTTATAAGTTCTTCCTCGAGTTCATATTACCACTCAAGTGCAATGCCCTGACGCAATACCCTGACGCATAGAATTACTCATAAGATAAGACTACTAGTAACTTACCCCTCTCGGCTTGCGAGCAAATAGATACCTGACAGACAGCGTAGTCTTAACTTGAGCACCCTCTTGGAAATCGATTCAGCGAATTCAACATCACTCCCCCCGTCCTCATCCTGCTGCCCATCATCCGCTTCTCCTGCATCTGGGTCTTCTGCGTCTGCCTCTGCGCCCTGCTCCTCAGATTTAGCTTTTTTTGAGGGTCTCTTCGGCCTTTTCGGTGGTCGAATACGAAGGTGCGCGGGTTGATATCGTGGCGCATCTCCGGCGTCATACTCACGTCCAGCATTGTCCGGCTGAACTGTGTATTTGACAGCAATATTGAAGAAGCCCTTGGACGCTTGGTTGCGCACGACTTATAGGCGCCCGCTTTCCATCACCAACTGGACCCCGACCCGACCACCCACCGGAGGCAGGAGGCCACATTAAGTACGCGGGAAGGGGAGGTGATGGAAAGCGTAAAGTAAGCGCGGCCATAATTCGCCTGGTACTTCACTGAATGTCCCGGCATGATTAGGCTGCCCTGAAAGGCTTCAGAGTACTTTGCTGCCGCGAGGAAAAACTTCTCTGCTTCCGCGTCCAAAATCGGCGCCCCAGGTTGCACCGGTGTTGACCTTGATATGCGTAAAAGATAGATGCGCACTGATGATTTAAGCAAGATGTGAAGCAAGGTCTACTCTAGCATTGCACTGTTAGATAAAATAGCCCGAGGGAGTGGAGGCTACTTCTACTTCGACACGCACTCCCGGGTGACATGCCGATACTCTAATAATATAAGAAAAACAGCGCGCGGATCCTGATAAAAATGGCCGCTGCGCGCTAGAAGTGCTAGCATCTATCGGCATGCACGACGAGAAAGCCGAATGCAGTAATAGATGAAGCCTAGTGTGGTCGGCGTCACTCAATAGGCGCCATCCTCCACGTCTACGCCACGCCAAGCATCACGAGGACAAGATGCCGACGCGCAACGGCGCAAGAAGGACTCTACACCATCATGGGAACAGCAGGTCGCCACGCCCAGACACTTACTTACAGGCACTGCACTACCTACGTACGCACGTCAGGGGCCTTTCCTGTCATGCACTGTCTTGCCGCCAAGCAGAACGGGAACAAAGCTGAGTGATATGTGAAAGCAACGTAACTAAGCACTCGCTGAAGGATATGAGACTGCTTCCCAATTTATCAGAGGCCTAACTGTCGTGTTTTCTCATCGTGATGCCAAGCGTCAAAAACTGACGCTCGCTGGCGACACACGGAAAGGGCCTTCATCATCATGATCAGAGCGAAGCCCTTGAAGTTTTTGCTTTTCAACTGGCTGCCAAGGCAGTCCAGTGTTGCAAAGGGGCACTATCATCATTGTCTTTAGAAGCGGCCACATATCTACCCGCGCCGAAGCAGTGGCGAATCAAATCCAAGCTCATCAACACCATCTCAGAAGCAGTTGGTAGGTCACACTAGCCTTAGTTACCTACGAAGCTGCTTATGATTAAGGGCAGCATGCATCCTACCGCTAAGCTACCCAGAGTAATATAGTCTAAGTTATTTAGTAGAATAGTACGACTTCAGGCTCATCATGTTCGCGTCGATGATACCGAATGAGCGAGATGCCCGCACATCGTGGTCACGGAGGGCGCCTTCGATGTCCTCAATCGCATAGTCCGTCGGAATGACGACGAAGGTGACGCGCTCGTCACACAGCTCCTCTGCGCGCTTGCCCAGTGGGTCCCTCTCCAACCACTCGTCCCGCTTCTTCTTCGCTGCTTCTTCTGCCTCGACCCTTGCCTTTTCAGCGGCTACTGAATCAGCCTCCTGCTGCGCTTGCGCTTTTTTGAGTGCCTCCACCTCCTCCTTTTGAAGCGCATTTTTTTCGTCCCGTTCCTGTCGAAGCGCTTCTTCTTCTTTCGCGATTCGCTCTTGCTCATCCTTGCGCGCCTGCTCCTCCTGCCTCTTTTGCACCTTCATATCCGCCCACTTCTGTATGTTCTCCCGGAACACCTGGAATACGAGACTCTGCGTCTCCTTGGTTTTCTTTTAGAGCCTGCACGAAAAGGCGAGAGAGTGCCCATATTATAAATGAACAAAGAATCACGATGCTTTTACTTATGACCAACTGCCTGCGCGTCTAGGATGGGCGACGCCTACACTAGATCTAGAACAGTCAACCTAAATCAAAGCCAGCAGCCACTGAGTCTGCTGTAGCCATGCTTAGCACACCTTCTAGCGCATGCCTTAACTTTGCATGTGGGAGCACAAGCGAGGAAGCTGGTCACCCTTTTCAAATTGCTGCAGCAACGAGGCGGCTCGTTCCACTGTGCCAGACGTGGTGTCCGACTGCTTGATAGCTTTCCCAAGCGCCAACGAATCCAGAGAGAGGGTCGCCTGAGCCGCGTCAGGCTCTTCTGCTGTCCACGCTCGTCGAATCTCATCGGTGTGCTCCCCCCGTCGCAAGAGAAATTAGAGAAAGTGGCCAATTACTTTCGATAGATTACCCATGGCATGAATAAACGCTATGCCGCTTGCCAGAGCTAGTGGCACGTAGTGGCAAGCGGCCCATGATCACTCTGAGAACTACAGTCGACCCATAAAAATACACGGCCCAATCCTTCAACTGTAGCCCGCCTCGCTTGATCTGAAAAGAAAGGGAAGTGCGACACTGACATCGATCACTGCTCCTGCCGCAGCTCAACAAGTTTGGTTTCTACCGATAATACGATAAGTATATAAATAGCGGCACATAGGTGCGGTGGCGACTCGAGCTGCACCGACACACGCGACGCGCATTACTGTTTACTCCAGATTCATTCATTGATTATTCGTGCCAGCAAGTAGAAATTGACTCTACGAAACGCTAAAAGCGGAAGTCATGGGGAGAGTCTAGTCGATAAGGCCATACTACCTGCGACAAGTCCATGCCGGAATTGCAAACCCACTCGAAAAAGTCGGGGACTTGGTCAACCTTCGCCAGCTGTGTCATGGTTAAGAGTTAGAGTGAGCGCAACACCTTTCAGAGCCAGCGAACGTCTCTCCTGCCTCAGATTCTACTTGGAAAAAGATAAGGGCGAGATGAATGTCGATGGTGAAAAAGTTGAGCGATAAGTATTTATTATATTAATATAAAAATCACCTTAAGAAAAGACCTCCGCTAATTTTCGGCAATCTGCGAAAGGCGATCCGACCAAGCCGAATCTGCTGTCTTAGAGGCGGGCCAGAAAAGAGGCCACAGCTCAAGTTCTGCCTTTTGCTTCATACTTATAAACAAGGAGCTATAGGCATAGCGGCAGACTGTGGCTCATTTTCGAGTTGATGATGGGCATACTTATATTAATATAAAGACCTACTAACTATTTTTTTTGAAGCTGCGCCTTAATTGAAGGTCACGAAAAGCGTCTCTTTGAAGCCTTTTACCGCCAGCATCCGCGCTCCTGCAGCCCACTCGCTTGTCCTCTGTGAAGTGGGGTGACAATACTTCGAAAACTGGAACCTGCGCACCTCCATTGCAAATTTCAAGACCTGGAAGGACGAGTTGGAAGTGAGTTTTATTTTTACTATACCCACCGGGGCCTCTAAAAGCAAAAGTATGAGAAAGATAGACTATCGAAAGCAGAGGCGGAACACGCTGCAAAAAAGATCTGCTTACTCTGCGGATAATGATCCTAGCACGCCTAATAAATCCGAAAAAGATAAAACTGTAAGTCACAACTAAGGTTTTGTAAATGCCTGCGCCTGTGTCGCTCTCTGTCCTTTCGGCGTTTGTGCTCCTTTTTCTGCATCCGCCCACATGGAGTAAAACTCCACTGGCGTGTGGCGGATGAGGTCCGCGTTAGCTAGACCCATGCGGCCATTCCAAACCACGCTCCTCACTTGCTCCTCGTCGCAGTTTTTTTCTGCGACAGTATGATACCGCTTGAAAGTCTGCCGGCCACACAGTGCCAACACAATGGCGGCCCTAACGAACCCCGCATTTGCGACGCGGCCGTTCACGACCATCACCGAACGCATATTGTCATGCGTAAGCCTGTTGGAGAAAAGAGAAGATGGAGGCTTCGTTCGCCAATGGGCGGCAAGTTTTGTAGACTCTGTCCGAGTCCGACTTCAGGCTTTAGCTAAAATGTGAGACCGGGTAACAAACAAGCCAACAAGCTACGCACTAAACATTACGCAAGCATCAGGAGTCTACTCGTAGCTAATCTGTACACGCGTGCCAGGCTGAAGATGCTGTTGCAAGGGGTATCTTCGTCGTGGAAGAGCATCTTCGGGAAATCGTTCAGATCGAGGCAGCTGCTTGACGTAATGTCGACGAGGTCCTTTCGGACCCCAGAATTGTCCGCAAACAGAGCTGTTCCGGTTTTTAGGAAGTTCTCCACGCCTTGCTTCAGATGTGCGTCGAGTTGCTGCATGGTGCTGTCTTTGAAATGCGATTCCATATCGCGGAGCTTCTCCTCGACAGGAGGAGGTAGTCTGCTTGTGCCAGACATGTCGGAGAAAAATGCGAAAAACGATGTATAAAGAAAAGCGCTAAATTGGGTATAAATCGCGACGCACCACAAAGCGTATCTATCCGTGTCAGTGAGTCAGTGCCCCGGTGCAGTACTACAAATATTAAAAGATGAGAGTAGCAAACCAGTGATAAATAGCCAACCAATCATCTGGGAATAGTAGTCGATGCATTTATAATAGTAATATGATATTATCCAACGCGAAGCGGATACAATAAAAAACTGAAATAGCAAGAACCCTGCAACATGAGAAGATGCGAAGTAGTAGACAACAGAATGCACTACGTACGCATGAAGAATAAGAACTGGATGGGCAAAGGACATTTTTTTTTCATACCATCGGGGAGGGTAGCAAGAATGTGTACAAATTTGAGTACCCTCCCCTACAATCTCCAAAAAATTTGCGATCAGGCCCGAGCTCGAACCCGCGGGCCCAGGCTGCGCTGCCTGGGCCCTTCGGATCGCATGACGCAGGGCCGCTGCTTACACGAAACAGATTTTTCAAATCTGTTTCGTGTAAGCTCTTGTTGGTGCTACGGGAAGCAAGCGAAGAACGACGGATCCTTGCGCCCGGACAGAAAGTAAGGCCCCTGTCCGGATTCCTCCGCCGCTAGGCAAAGCAAAAACTTCCCCTCCTAGCCAGGTGCCAGCCTATTTGTACCGCACTGAAAACCCCCGAAGAAGTGAAGCAGGCACCTGGGCTTGAAACCAAAGCAAGGGAAGTCACTTTGCGAGCCCAACTGAACATGCACAACCGCAGGCGAGAATCTCAGAATGTCGCAGGCAATCTGGGATTCTCGCCCCCCGCAAGAGGGGAGCGAGAATCCCAGTGCCCTGGCGGCATTCTACAGCCGCAAATCAGACCTCAGCACAGCAGTCCGCACACATCACGACGAAATTCCGACCGTAGAACGACAGAGCGAGCCTGGGATTCTCGCCCCCCGCAAGAGGGGAGCGAGAATCCCGGAATGCCGCTCGCATTCTGGAATTCTCGCCTGTGGACCCTACATCCATGCGGGCTTGAAAAAGCGGAATCCCTGTGCGGCATTGAATCAAGTCCCAAACTCGTCACCCGTGGTCTCCCGAGGCACTGAAGCCAGGCTAGTTAGCAGGGTCATTACAGTGAAATCAATAGCAGCGCCATTACTGTAATAAAGCTTCACCTTCAGGGGTGCTTAAATATAACGCAACTGATCCAAGACGCATAAAAAGACGGATCAAAGGACCTGCGCGAGCGAATGATTTCAATTCAAAATGATGCAGAATTACCCGAAAAGCGAAGAACCTCGAAGCAAAGACGACTAGTATCAATGGACCACATTCAGACATCAGTCACGTTTGTCGCCAGCCATCAAACTCAAAGTCCGCGCATCTCAACATATTGATTCAAGAAAGGTGTCGCCACACACAACAAAGACGAGGAGGCTTAGTGATGAAAGCTGAAGATAGCGCTTGCATGTGCATAAGTAGAAGATGGGCCAGAGTCAGATCATGCGCCAGAGGATTGAAGAGCTACTTCTTTTGCAGTGATAATTCAACGACGTCCCTCATACAGTATGGGCTTGAGTTCTAAGTAAACTAGCTTGAGTTTATTTATAAGTGCACAACTGAGTTTATTTAAATGCACACGCTAAAGAATGGGATAAGTTTCTTCTGTTGATTCTCAAGTTTGTCAGTGGTCAACTTTTTTTACACAATAGGCAAACGACTTGCAACCAGTAAAAAACGAGGGGGGTGTGGTTGGAATAGAAGGAGTTGATCAGCGTCACGCTGTTGAGTGGACTTATAGTTAACGATAAAATTGCAACATTGTGGAATCCACCCGCCAGATTCTCCGCGGCCAAGAGTGCCACACTTCTGACAGGCTCTTCTCTGCTGCTTCCCCCAAGACCATTACCGTCGGTCGGACGCCTTCAGGCTTGAGGTCTTTCTCCGTCGACTTCCTCACCTTCACACTCCAGTTCGTACGCGCGGAGAGCGGCAACGCGACTTCATCGCTGAAGAGGAACTGCATGGTGGAGCTGTTGCAGACCTGCACTGTTCGCGATTCCGAATGCATGGGGGCGCTCTGCTTCTCAAACCAATGGACAACAACAACAGCAGCAGCAAGAGGTGGCGGCTGGTTCTCAGCGTTCCACCCATCTACAAGCAATTCAGGAACTTGGTGTAATATCGGCTTTCGCAGCAGCTTCGCGATGAACCACACTACTGATCCTGTTGTCGTGCTTGCTGCCCTAACGGAGATGGCTGCTGCGTCTTCAATCATGCGATACACATCCGGCAGCGACTGAACGCCATGTAGTATGTCGAAGTCGTAGACGGTCATGCCCGGCGCTATCCGGTACTTCTGAGCCGCAAACGTTGGTAGCGCTGGTGGGGCGCAAGCTGCGCTGGCGGCATCCTTATCCATGAAACGGATTTGCGTTGTCACAGTGTGCATCTTCTGCTTTGCTGTGTCGATCTTCGGGGCGAAGTCCTCAGAAAAGACGGAGACGTCCTTCTCCTGGACGAAGTAAGCGTCTGCCGCTTTTTCTCCTGCAGGCTTTTTGGTTGTGCCCGCATCTGCTCGGCGGACTCGCTCCTGAAAGTCAAAGTCGCCAGCGTCTATCCTTGCCGCGCACATCCTGCTCCCATAGCGATCCACATATATGCCGGCGTTAGAGTTGCAAGCGAGGCATCTATGGAAAAGGGGTGCCCACATCAATCTAGAAGCAACTCCGAGAACGGCGCGTATAAATTTCTCACTTATATCTATTGGCACTGGAAGCTTGGGCACGGAAGCGAGCCTCTCCAGCTGATAGATATAGCTGTCGAGAGAATGGCGAGACCCGCAGAAATACAAAAGTAAAAACAGACCAAAGTATAGTATCCGCGTGGGCGATCAAGATTGACACTACAAGGATAAGTATTTAAGAAAAGACTTGGCCATAATTTGCGCAGCAGGTACAACGTCGATGTAGTTTGCCCATTGGTCACCCATTTCCCAGACCGCGAGATAAGTCCGGACCGACTTGGGTCGAGAACTTACCGAGCACCCCGCTGCCCGCGAGAAGATGCGCTCAATCGAGCAGGTTGTTGGCGTAATGCTAACGAGCCAAGCGAAGGTCTTCAACCACGGAGACCAAGCCTGCCCATTGGAAGTGCGCTGCCATGCACCTTCGGCGCCGCGATATGAGTTGACAGCCCGCGCCCACCACCTCCACATTGCGACGGGCTTCTCTTCTGTGCTTGGGGGTGAACGCCTATCATGACGCGCTTCGTAGAGCTTCTTGGCCACGGTGAAGAGCAACTTGTAAACAGGCCGCGTGTCCACGCTGCTCGAATGTCCGCTGAGTTCTTGTAGGTCTTGCCATTTGGTGACATCTGGCGCGTCTGCATTTAAGTCCAAGCAGCTGGCACAGAGCAACGTCTTATCGTCTCGGAATATTTTGTGCAGCCTGCTAATCGACTCCTGGACGAGGTTGAAGAATGCCGAAAAGACTTGCTTCCGTGTTTTCTCCAAGTTCACGGCGGAGCCAGAGAAGAAGTTGACGCAACGCGTGCCACAACTGGAGCGCACAACCATGGGCCTGTTTATTGACTTGAGGAACTCGAGGAGGATTTTCGTTAATGGCATTGCAGACGGGTCAGCGAAGTTCGCGGCCTTGGCTTTGAACTGCGTTACGATGCGCAGAACGGAAGAAAGGCACAAGTCATCCCGATCAAGTTGCCGCGTTGTGTATTCGGCGACGATGCTATAGTCCCCGACGAGTGCCCAAGCTAGCAGTCCTGCTGCCTCACTATTGTCGTGTCTTCCGCATATCGGCTCAGCCCATTCGGAAAGTTAGAGAAGAAGATGCTGCTTAGCATGAAACCATAAACGCCAGCACCAGTTGCGCCTGCAAGATATCAGAGAAGAAAGGCCACGATCGAAGTCGAAGATAAAAACAACGACCAATGCCCTGCCTCAGAACGAAAATATGGCTACTAATAATGATTAAATATTTAAGACTAAGTCTAAGATACCACCACGATGTGACAACTAAATAAGTTATACTATGTGGTATCACCTCAGCATAAGCATAGACGCCTCCCATCGCCCTCGCCTCCACGGCAACAGCGAGGAGCCCACGTAGAATAGGTAGGTTTTTAGAACCGGCTGCAGCTCGAAAGACGACTTTCGAGGGCTTCGATATGCTGTCCCATCGGTGTCCGGCGTAGTCGAGTGTGGCGGTGTCTTTGAGCGATGTTCCCCCGCCCGTTGCTGCTTCATCGATGCCCTGCTTTACTTCTGCCTCGCGGTCACTCTGGCGAAAAATCCCCCGAAGTCTTGGCCCTGTTTCGATCTTCTTGAGCAATGTCGTAAAGTCCGATATGTAGGCCCATATGGTTTTGTAGCTGGTTGGCAACTTGGACGAGGCTCGAGACCGCATGCCCCACTCAGCTGCGGTTCTGAACGCATGCGCGACGCACCAGTTGAAATTACTGAGATTAGAGGGGACGAAAGTAAAAAGAACGATAATAAGGACGGGCTGTCTTGTGAATCTACATTCATGCTAGCCAAACTTGCGGTCAAGTGACGACGAGCCGCGCAGTGGGGACGAGGAAACCTGGAGGGACACTGACTACAGAGCCAACCTGAATCGCAATCAATCACTGCAAGTTTTTCTTTGACAACCATGCATAAGAAGGGACTTAAGAGTGCCCACCGTCTTCAAAGCACGCCACGCAGGAAGCTCATCCGGGCCGCCGTCAGCTGTAGTGGTCCGAATCTTGTCACGCCATTGCGTTCCTATCTTTGTGCTCGTTTCGAAGCTTTGCACGACCGAGGTCAAGACGCTCACCATCGCACTGGTACCAGTTGCCTTGTTGTATCCCGCACCCAAAACTCGATCGTGGCACACCACTCCACTAGCCGTCATCGCAACCACCCGCACCTTCACCACGACGAATCCGCGCCGCTCGTCTGCACTCAACGAGGCGAACAGCGACCGCTCCGACTCCAGTAGCCTTTTCGTCTCCTCATTATAAACCGCGAGGAC